TGCGTTAGAAGAGAGAAGGAGTTTACGTTATAGTTAATATAAACTAAAATTAAGTAAGGTGATTCATATGTAGTATGAAATTTACAACGTATGATTTAATTAATTTAATAATTATTAGTTAACGATTTTAAGCCCGGTAAAAATGAATCAGTAGTATTAAATAAAATATTAATTATTTTTAATATATTATTGTTAAAATCTGTTGTTATTAAAAACTATTGTTAGTTGGTACTTGTACTATTGTGCATTTAATGACTTTAGCAAATGATGTTAGGAATGTTTTTAATTGATTTTTATCGTTTTTTTTGTTGTTATATTATGTATTTAGTTTTCTTCTACGTTTTCCTATTTCTTTGTATTTTGGTTTAAGCATTTTTTTCTTTTTATTTTTGCTATTACGTTCATAGCGCTGTGGTAAGAAGTTTATAACTCAGAGTTGGAGTAATCTTTAACTATGTGAACCAGATAAGTTCTTGTCGATACTAATCTCTCTGTTTATGTATTAATCATACCATGGAGCCCACAAAACAGTTTAGCGATAAATATCTCTGTATATATAGGTTAATTATATCATGTAGCCCACATATACACCTTAATTATAAACTATTTTTAATCTATATTCATATCGAATTTCACGTGATTATACAAATTTCAATGAAATTACAAATAAAAATTTTTTTAACATAAATATTAAACAATTAATTTTCAATATACCAATTTGTGTAAATGCTAATTAAGTTTCGGCAAAGTTAAACTAATCTTGTTTAATATTTTATTATTTTTTTTCTCTTTTATAGCTGTAATGTGAGCTATAAATAATTTTTTTTAATCAGTTTAGCACCACTATTTATGGGTATAAATTGTTTTCAGTTTTGGCCTATAGCCTTTTCTTGTCTGAATAATATTAAATTGTTAAATTGTTTAACAATGGTGTAGAGTAGTAAAGACACAAAAAAACAAAAAAAAAAAATAATAATAAAATAATTATTGCATTAAGCGTTGCACATTTTTTATGCATTAAATCATTTTTTTACGAAAAACTCAAATTTTTTACTAACACAATTGCTTAATTATAATTTAAAAGCAAAAACCAAAGAATTATAAATGTATGAGAAATACGTTTCCTGCATTTCATTACAGGCTTCGTACGGTTCAAAAAGAAAAATATGGTCAAAATTTGGAAGACTGTTTAAATCAAGTCTTAGTTGCCTTACGGTACTCTTATATACCCATATATATACACACTATGCTACAGACAACAGTTTTATAGATTTTTATTTTTAATTTTAATTTCAATATATATATATATATATCTTTGATGGTAAATAATGTTTAAGTAAATAATTTTCCATATTAAATTAGTTTTGATTTGAATGGAGTCTCTTTCACTTTTGTTCCAAAAGTGGTTGTTAGCTTGATTTGTTGATTTGGCTCTGGCCCATAACTTGGTTTGGTGTTTGCAAAAACTCATTGTTAAACGTAAAAGCACAAAAACGTGCCGCGCCAGACATCGCAGCCATTACAAATGATTTTCTTTTTTTTTACATATAAATATATATATAGTATATTTAGTTAGTATATTTTGTTATTGGTGCCTATTTCTACGTCAGTAGTAGATATTCCAATTGTTTGTTACACAACATAAACATTTAGTATGCACAC